GTCATGTTTCCACTTCACCTTTTGGCTGTATGTTCTGTTGGGAGCTAGAGACATGAGAATGGCCAGTGATATGCTTGGCACAAAAAAAAGATGCTTCTCACAACATTGCCCAGCTTAGCACACTCATTCCAGCACACACAGACCCTTGCCTCCTTGGAATTTATCAATGCCCTAGAACTATTTGGAAAATTCACTAACAGTTTCTTTCTAAAGTCTATCTTTTCTACCATGATCTCTATCATCATCTCTTTTGCCACCCCCACTCCACTATCAACATGCTCTCCAATACAGACCACTACATTTGGGTTTGAAAAATATGTATGAACAAGCTGCCTGACTCCAAATAAAGGATTTGATGCAGACCCATGTCAACAGAACATGCCCTTTCAATTGTTCTCCTGCGAGTCTGGGTGGGGAATTTTTTCTTACCGATTCCCACCGTACTATCAACAAAGGTATGCTCCTAACTGACAAAGATGAAAAACATGTAGATGACAACTGGGTTGAGCCTACGGAATGTCAAAGACAGTTGGAGAACTGAAGTACATTGGTTAGCATCGGTAGGTTATGCTGCATTAACAAATACCCTAAACTCTTATAAACAGATTTAGCACTCATTTAAAATGAATGTCCAACATGGATCAGCAAAGGGTTCTGCTCTTTTATAGTCAGAACCCAGTGATTACAGCAGGTAGAAGAGTAAACAGCAAACTGTGCACTAGCTTTTCAAGTTTCTGCCGGTTGGTCACACCAAAGGATGCAGCGATGTACAAACATACCATGCACAGAAGGAGAGAAAATCCCGAATGTCCATAAGGAACCCCAATGACTACAATAGATTGAAATGGCCCCTGTGGAGGGTCAAGCCTGGGCTTTCAGCCTCCCCAGCAACACGTTTTAGCTCTAACTATAGCTAGGCTTATGGAAGACCTATTACGTGCCAGGTAATTTGTTAGGCACTTTACACAGTCATACACTCAGAATTCCTGCAATCAGGTTAAGGCCAGTTAAGCAACTGGTGAGTGACAGAAGGATTTCAAGCTGGGTGTCTAACCACAAAGCCTTGGTTCCTTTTAATTCCCTGCCCATTTTCCCAATTTTGCAGCAAGTTACCAGGCCCAGTTTCATCTAGCAGTTCATAACAGACACAAATGGTGGTGTGCCTGTCCTCGAGGCCTTACAGTGTACCCCTGAGTGTCCACTTCACTGCCTTTGGGGGAGGTGGGGGGCACAGAGCCACCATTTCTTTACCGGAGCTTCCCAAATTCTCCAGTCTTTCACTTTCTTCATCCTGGCCAAAGCCAAGGAATCAACAAGCAAGCTCCCACCTAAGAAATTTTCTCCTAAGCAATTCCCCAATCGAGTACATTTATCAGAGTGATGCTAAATAAGATGCAAGTGCAAATAATTTAATTTTTTAAAATGTCAGCTTCCTGTTGCCATAGATCAATTAAATCCTCTTGATTTTATTGCCAGATTGACACAAGCGTATTTATCACTGTTTGCCACGGGAGCCCTGCTCTGCCCGCTGTGTTCAACAAGCTCAGCAAGCAACCCACTCAAACCACTCAGGACTCAGGGCCCTTGGGGGCATGGGATGGGCACCACAGAGAACTCTGTCCTTTCCCAATCCTGGGAAAAAGGAAAACTGAAGCTGGAATAGCTCATTAACAAGTTCTTTTTGCCTTGAGCAGATCAAGGAACTAGCACTGGCTAAAGCACAGGATCTCTTTATTGATCACAGTAAAAATAAAATATGAAAACCTCAAAAACAAGTTCAAGGAAGAGTATGGGACAATGGTACTCAAATATTCTTAGTAGCAGAAATTGGTAGAACCTCTCTTGAGGGCAATCTGACATCTTCATCAGAGCCCTCTGACAATTCAGGTCTCTAGGAATTTATCCCAAGAAACTAATCAGAGACCTATTCATGAGTATTACAAGAATATTTATAACATATTTTTAACAGCAAAAATCTGGAAACAATCTAAATCTCCAACACTAAGAAATAAGAAACCATTAAAAACTGTAATGCAGTATTTAATGATAGGAAAATGCTTCCAACACAATGTGAGCAACAGCATCATTTTTAAATATTTGGCATTATAAAAGATTGGAAGACAAAATGTCAGCAGTGGTGATTTCCAGTGGTTAAGATTGTCAGTGATTTGAAAGAAAGAGCATTTCCTTATACCTTTGAGTTTAACATTTCTATATTGATGTTTCTATTTAAAAAAACAATCTTCAAAAAATTAAAGTATGATTTCATGCAGACGCAGACATTGGACTTGTGATCATTAATGCATTCAAATTCAAGAAGCAACACTCCTCTCAAGCATTACCTGATGAGCTCTCTAAACCCTCTATCCCCCATTCCAGTGTGGATGGCAATCACCTGTCCCTGGGAATCATGTCTAGGAAGAGTCCGATGTCTTTCATGCCCCCAGAACAGAGTCATAGAAACAGTATAGCCTGAGTTTCCACAACCTTCTGCAGGGACAGGTAACTATTTTACTATTGGTGGATCCAAAAGAAGCAGAGGATTCACAATAGTTAATGCAGGAGAGAAGGCAGAGGTATAACAGGATAAAAGTTTATATGTATAGTGACCTAAAACCAAAGTTTAGAGCTTATAAATCCATAAGCATCCTTCCCTCCAGCATGAACAGGTGGCCATAGGAAGAATCAGTAGAACCATCACTTTCATGAAGGAGATTAATAATGTTGATGGGGTATAGTTATAAATTAGTGGTAAGACAACAGAGAAGGATGTTCCTAATGAGTGGTTAATTGAAGCCTGGTGCCTCTCTTTTAACTAATATCTTGGCAAGAAAGAATACAATATGGCCACTTAAGACATTCACATTGTAGCATATGCACAAAATAGCTCTGGAGGACTACAAAATGATGAGTAACAGCACGGCAGAGGAGAACTGGAAGGCTAAAAAAATCTACATGTAAAGAAAAATTTTTTCCTACTTTTTGCAAGTTTGTTCCTTCTAAAGCCTACACCATGTGCACACCCCTCCATTGCTCATCCCTGCCCCAATCCAGCTATAACCCAGTGTGGTGATCACACACCAAAAACAACAGGACCCTGATGAGATGGGATGGCACCTCAAACTCAACACTACAGAAATGTTCTCCTCTCAACAAAGGGGAATTAAACTCACAACTCCCCTCCCTCCAAACCTGTTTTACTAACCTCCCTCTCACTGAATTGCCCTGCCTCTAGAACCTGTCCTTTCCGATGATAAATCCTTATACATCCAGCCCCTCAGAGCCCACAGCCCCTTCTCACTACTGACTCTGCTCTTCTCTCTCTCTCTCTCTCTCTCTCTCTCTCTCTC